CCCCAAAACCCCAAAACCCCAAAACCCCTCTATAACGAATTTCTATGCATACCAAAAAAAATAAAAATTATAATCATAAAATGGAAAGTACTGAGAGCAAATAAACTCATTTTGATACATCTAATGTTAAACTTCAAAACCACTGGTTCAAGCAGTTTAAAAACTTTAACCAAGATTAAGCAATTGAGATATGTGAGAAATAGTATGCTTGGCATGATAAAATGACTGAATAATCAAATATTCCTAAGAAGATACATTTTATTTGGATTGGCAAAAATGATCTCCCTCAAAATTTTAGAGATTTTTATCAGAATTAATGGAAATAAACACACTCTGACTATGAATTCAAAATTTGGACAGATGAAGATATTAAGGATATGATATTTACTAATGATTAGATTATTAAAGATCCAGAGTTTAACTCAGGACTTAGAGCCGATGCTCTGAGGCTGGAGATTTTGTAAACATATGGAGGTATTTACATAGATATAGATATGGCTGTTGTTAAGAAACTAGATGAGTTACTTTTTAAAGATATAGATTTTATCATTGGTGTTTCTAATACATAAGCTTTTGAATTAAACAATGCAATTATTGCTTCAATACCAAATCACCCAATTCTTCAATACCTGATAGATAACTTAAAAATAAACATGTAAAAGCATATCTAAGATGCTAATAAGAAAATTCAACTAATGTCATTGATGTCATAGATGACAGGTGATGATATTAAAGTTGACATCAATCCAAAATAAGTTAATGTGATATAAATGAGTGGACCAGGATTTATGACTTAATATGTGTTTAGATATCTGAATTCAAACAAAGAAACAAATGTACTTATCGCTCCCAAAGAATATTTCTATCCACTTTCAAATGAGTTACGTGGAGAGATTAATCCTTAAAATTATATAGAGTATATAGATTAGCAATAATACAATGATAGTATTAGCGATAATATATATACTTGTCATATGTGGGAAGTAAATTGGTAAAATAAACAATGACTCGTCTTAAAGGTTATTAGACTTCATTAAATGAATTTTCAATCATATTTTAGTTTAAACTATTAAAGTAATTTGAGATTATTATCGATTTGATTTGTGGGGTTTTGGGGTTTTGGGGAGATCGGA